TGTACGTACCAGCCCAGTGGGGCGTGTGACTTCAGGATACTCGCGCAGTATATTATGATACTCAGACTCGCCAGTGACTGTCTTGATGGAGATTATGCTCTCTGGTATTATTTGTCGGGGCACGGACACAGAGAGAGATGTCTTCCCGTCCACGAGACGCTGGTTTCTACAATCGATAAGAATATTATAATAACTCAGAAAATCAATTCCTATGATTGGTTTAGACACGTCAGCTATTATGAACCGCCACACAAAATCTCGTCTCAGACCTAGGTCTAAATGCAGTAATATTGGTCCATATGTATGTATAATTGTGCCATTAGCTGCAGAGAGGGTATATTTACCTTTGCTACTGGGTGCCTTTATTGCTGAGCGCGGGTATACGCACAAATCTGATCCGGTGTCTATGAGGAACTGCATCTTAGAGGTACGATCTGTCACAAAGAGACGGCCCGTTTGAGCTGGGCAGTCGCTGGCCGCTACTTCCGGCTGCCCCCGTCGTTTCCCGCTCTAAACTCACATGGCTCTGTACACTTCTTGGCTCTCGCACCAAAGTTATAATGATACCAGCAATGAGGATGGTCAGGCGGTGGCTGACGATTGCGCGAGTGACTACGCTTGCGATTATGGTTTTCCTGCGACCTAGATCTGGAATGCGCCCTTGACTGCCTGTGGACATAAGAGGTTAGTTTAGCGACTTCCCTAGTTAAAGCACATATTTCCTGCTGCAAGCTGTCAATGTTTGAAATTGATGCTGGTTGCAAGGAAGTTGAAGCCATAGCTACTTGTTGATGCGGCATTGCTGGAGCTATTTCGTGCACGCGGTCTGCTAACTCGGCTAGATCGTCTAATGATAGCTTAGGCTGCGACGCAACGACTGTTTGCAAATTATGTGGCAAGCGTCCGGTCCATAAGGTCATTAAAACGTCATCCGAAACTGTTGGACCGGCTAGGTTCCTTAAATGTCTTAAGAAATGTGATGGCTTACGGTCACCAATATCCTCGTTCAGGAACAGCTGCTGTAGCTTCTTCTCTTTCGACGCACTAAGCCGCTTAACAAGCTCGTTTTTGAGTTTTTCGAATTTGCCGGTCGCAGGAGGTGCCCTTAGTACATCTTTAACGTGCGAAACGTACGTAGGTTCTAGCTGTGTAACGGCATAATAAAATTTCGTCGTGTCACTGGTTATATTTGACAATACAAACTGCGCTTCTATCTGATTAAACCACAATTCCGGATCTTCAGGATAAAATGGCGGTATTCTCACTCCAACACGCCAAATATCGCGTTGCTCTCCATCAGCCGCGTTTCCTTTACCACCGGCACCGTCCTCCATTGCTTTCTTGAGTCTTAAGTTCTTTGTTCGGGGTCACCACTTGTGGGTGATGTTAAATGACGACAAACCGTTGGTTTAAAGCGTTTATTATATCCCACAATCATAAGCTTTACAGCAAAGTATGGTACAGGCATATGATAGAAGAAGTAGACACGAGTAAAGAATTAAGAACAGATACTAGAAGAGATTCGCGAACTAATAAAATATAATATGGGGTATTAGCGGATAGGCGGGAGCGAAATTGAGCGTGCATTTGCCGTCGTAGCTAGCTCGGCACTGCCGCCCGCGACCGAGCGATAGCGGGTCGCCGGCGCGCGCGACGTCGGGGATTGTGCGGGAGCAGGCGGCGAGGTAAGCAACCGATGCGCTTGATTAGAGTGCACCCCTTTATGCGACCAAAGTATGTGCATCTTTTGATCTCGGCGTTGCCACAGGGTTATGTATATATGTACAATTTATCAAACCATTGAAAATAGTACAACTAATTATGAACTAAAAATGGCGGCTTACTCATGTGAATATACTGAAAAAAGCTCTACTAGTTTCGAGCCACAGAGAGGTCTCATGAGCAGCGTTCGCGCACGTGAGTAACCCGCTTTTTACTCTCACGATAGTTATTATAAAACATTAGTAGGTACATCTCATATTTAAAATGTTATGGTTACCAAAATTCTCGATGAAACAGGAATTCCTGCTAGTGAATTTACTTTAGATAAAAATACAATAGCATTTAATAAAACAAATGATACACACATAGAATAAAATACAAGGTGAACGTCTCCTATTACATTAGTACCTTTAAATATTCCTTTTAATATCAGAACCAGCTGATTGGAAAACGTGATACATACATACGTAAGCAACATTTTGTGTATATTTATAGCTGGCCTAAAGTTCTGCACGTGACTTAGCGGTTATAATTTGATCACGTGTTTAATCAAGTGGAGGTCCTACTAATATGATAAACGCGCAAGTTTGTTTGTTTGTTAGTCCTTCCTTCACTCCATAACGTCTGGAGGGATAAGAATGTTGAAAACCATCCCCTAAATTTGTTCATACAAAAGTAGTCTCTATAAATTGGAAATAAAGTCTATATAATGTAGTAAGGGGAGAGCGGTCACCGGTGACCGCTTTGGGATTTATGTGGAACAGAGGTAGATTATACATAGGCTACTTTTTATAACACAGAAACGCGGGCGAAATCGTTGGCAGACGCTAGTATCATTATAATTCGTTTATACATAACAATATTGTTCTTCCTATGAAACTGTGTAAAAAATGTAGATTTTAGAATACATTATGGAGTAAACCGGTAAACGAGCAGGCGGATCACCATGATGGTATGCAACCGTCGCCGCCCATGGACACCCGAAATACCGGAGGTATTACGAGTGCGTTACCGGCCTTTTGGAGGTTCGGGGATTGGGGAGATTAGAGGGAGGGGAGGTTAACTGGGCCTCCTGTAACCTCACTCACACGACGAAACACAACGCAAGTGTTGTTTCACGTCGATTTTCTGCTCGGCCGTGGTATCACTCCGGTTAAGCTGGCCCATTCGTGCCGAAGCATGGCACTCACACACTTGCATGGCATTCGTTTTATTTGTTGTTATAGAAAATAACCGATTACAACCTAAAATATTTCGATATAGTTAAATTTTTGATGTTATTGTATAAATATACCTAATTTCTATCAAAAATCGACATCGATCTATCAGTTAATAATTACAGCCATTACTCACCAGTGGTTGTTACAAATAAATTAACAACTTATAAATTGTGAATCAAATAAATTATTGCATTTCACATTCACACTAACAATAAACTACACGTCTTTATTACAAAGCCATTAGGCAGGTAATCCTATAAAGAAACTTAGATCGGTGTATAACTATATTCAAGCCTTATTTGGTACTAAGTAATTCATGTAAGTACTTGAGACTATGTAAAAATGAGGACAGATACCATTCCTAAGACAGGTTGCCAAGACAACCACATTAAGATAATCTTGAATTACTTGAAGAAACTTGGTATTGCAATGCTACTCTTTGAATAAAGAAATTGTGACAAATAAATATGTAAATTCTTGCGGTTGAGGTCTTACTTTAAAGAAGGATATATAAAGGTCAACATCTAACGTACCTACATACAAACAATTATGCTAAAAGAAGACAACGGTCTGTATATTTTTAAGCGCACTGTACATAATATTTTTACCTTTGGAAATGAACAAGTAATTTATTTGAAAATTAATTTGGTTGGGTTGGGGCCCAATAGGGCTGATGCCGACTTGACGGGTTACCGGGGCTCCGGCTCGAAGTGCAGGGTTTGGAACGGGGTGGGTTTTAGTCAGTGAGAGTCTGACACTCCCTCCCGCCTCACCCGGGCGGGAGCAGTCATTCGATGATATTCCCCCTTTAAAAAAGTATCCACAGATTTTGGATTGAGACAGTTCATTAACTTCGGTTGTAAGTCTGTTAGGTCTTTTCACTAATAATATCAGTTTATAAAAATATTACCTATTACTAAAATAGCTGCCTATAAACTTCGTACATAATTATCATAACTACTTTCTAGATCTAAGGCCTGGTACAAACGGGTCTGACTTGTGGATTGGTGCGCATGCGCAAACGAATGGGGACTACTATGTTAGCGTCGTTTGCTAATTTCCTTCGAACGGAAATCTTGTTTCTCTAATATATTCTCAATTTCTCTGTTGGGCAAGTTATTTCATATCTTTATATCATATTTTAGAGATTTAAGGAATCTTGAGAATTTTGCGTTTAACGGAAATAAATCAAAGTCAAAGTCAAAATCATTTATATCAATTATACCAGAAAGGCACTTCTGAACGTCAACAAAAAAATTAAGTGAAGCTATTTGCTCGTTCCAAAGTGTACCTAGATTCCTATGGAGAAGTACGAGCAAGAAACTCCATAGGTTACTCTTTTTCAATCAAGCTCACAATACAATTTACTAGTTATATAGTTTTGCTGGTTTGATTACGCAAGGACAATGAAACACCAAAATCCAGTTAAAAAGATCGAAAAAGAAAAGAAGAAGAAGGTCTCTCATTTGTGTAATTTGTCTTGTCTCGTTTGTTGATAGTTTAGAATATGTTCGGTATACGGCAATAGCCTCAACCCTTATCATCTACGTAGGATTTATATATAAGTGATGAAATGTTAGTATTAAGTCAAGGATACACCAGCGACAGACGTTGGGTGAAGTAACGCGACGTTGCCGGACTTTGGTCGACATGTCTGGCAACATTAACATCGCTGTGGACATAATTCGCGCGTTGTCGCCTTATAATATATCGGGATAATCGGCAGGCTTCGCTCGACATGTCGCCGATACCTACACGTCGTTGAACATAGATATGTCCCAAAGTGTATCCTTGGCTTTATCTTTAAAGGGTGGTTTACACTTATAGTTTTCATAATATGGTCTTCAATATCATATCAGCCATAAGATGTCAACTGCTGAACATACTTATACCTTCCACCAATGATAGTCTAATAGTCTTAGAGCAGAGACTCCGCAGTGATTTAAGCTAGGAATAAAACTAGCTCAATGCCCCACGATCAACCCACGCGAGTGTTTTAAATGATGCAAAAAATAGCCTCCAAACATGTTCTGATCATTCATTATTATTATGTATAGAGGTCCTATTATTCTTAATACTTTTGTAACGGATATATTTTGTGCTATTGTATTTATATGAGCCTGGTTTTGCCAACATACAGTTACTATACAATTTGTTACCTTTAATGAGTTTAGTTTTTTTTTAAACGTTGCCCCACATTAGGATTTTCTCCTGTGTCGTGGGTGCGTTTACAAACATACAAGTTCACATACACATGACACCCAGACCCGGAACAACAATTTGTGGATCACACAAAGTGTTGTTCCGTGCGGGAATCGAAACCGCCGACACGTTGCACGGCAGCCGGTTGTCCAGCCACCGCACCAACCGTGCAGTTAGATGTCTGTCTCCTCCCAAAACAAAAAACTAATTCTTTACTGCTTTTTCGTAACTTTTTAGTTTTAGAGAAAATGTAACTTGTCAAAGTAACTGTTACATACCTATGTACATACATAAATATGAATCTCCCGATCGATTTCGATCATGGTGGTCAGTCTGTCTAACTAGACTAGACCACTACGCAGGAGATAGTTTAGTGTATGCGCAAACACAGGTGCACTTTCTGTTCAGTCACTCTCTGAACCCAATGGGACAGCAGATCAACACGAACGGAGAGAGGCCAGGCGCAGGACCAACGGCTTTACGTATTTTCCGAGGCACGGTTGAAATACCGCCGAAATTACTGATGTAGAAATATGTAGCTATACATATATGGAAATCAGTTTTACACCATGTTTTAAGCTGGGCTTATCTCAGATTGTTTTTTCAGTTATGAATTGCATTCAGTGTAGTTTTGTAAACAGCGCGGAGCGGAAATTAATATTTTTATTTCATTTTATTTTGCAGTAGAAACATTTTAGTACCTATAGATGTTATGAAACTTATGGTAATCATGTAAATCTTGTTTTTTTTCACTTAAGGGGCCAGTAATATACTAACGCGAGTAGTCTAGTCTAGCACATGTTGAGCCAGAACTGGAACTTTGTCTTTCCTTCTTTTGCTTTCTTAAATGTATTAATTAAAAGAAGGTAATATGAAATTTGTACAATTTGATGAAATATACCTACAATGTGTTGTTATTATCCATTTTAATATAAATTTATTGTAAACCTAGCTTTTACCCGCGGCTTTGCCAGCGTATTCCTGTTTTATCCTGTGGAGCATTTAATCGGGATACCCTATCACCTAAGTCAGCCCATACCCTGCCTGTGTACCAATTTCATAAAATCCGTTCAGTAGTTTCAGCGTGATTAACAGACAAACATCCAAATTAAGAAGCTTACACATTTATAAAAAAAAAATTAAGGGGGGAAAATCATCGAATGACTTCTCTCGGCTGGGTGAGGCGGGAGTGTCAGACTCTTACTGACTAAAAACCACCCCGTTCCTACTCCTGCACTTCGAGCCGGAGCCCCGGTAACCCGTTAGGTTCTCCGCGACTCCGAATCGACATTAATAATAATAGTGTGATATCTTTAGTGTCGTGGTAGCCCGGAGGTTTAAGACTTTTCATACATCAAGTTCGAAACCTACCAACGGCAAATACCAATGTGACTTTTCCGAGTTATATATACTTTCTAAGATTATTTAGACACCACTGACAAACGGTGAAGGAAAACATTGTAAGGAAACCTGACCTTATAATTTCTACTTATAAGTTTGAAACCCACATTGAGCAAACGTGGTGATTAATGCTCAGACCTTCTCCGTATGAGAAGAGACTTTGCTCAGCAGTGGGCATTATAGGCTTTTGATATGTGATGTCTTTAATTAGTTATCG